AGAGAGAGAGAGAGAGAGAGAGAGAGAGAGAGAGAGAGAGAGAGAGAGAGAGAGGATGGGATAATAACAAATATGATAAACTATCAGCATTTACAATCTAAACTTGTGTGCAAATGGCCTGCAACAAAAAGGGTGTACAAAACAAAGTGATTTCTTTCTTTCTTGAGATTATTTTAAAGTTGCGACATCTAGGTATTTTATTGTCCGTGTAGTACTATCTCAAGAGATTGAAGCATCTTGTATACACAGATCAGGGGATTGTTCTAGAAGATCAGCTGTCTGAGAAAAAAAGTATTGTCAACGTTGGTGACATCTACAAAATTGTGCGTGAGTATTTGAAGACTCCTGTTTTGGAGTGAACCACAGTGTGGCATTTTATCTTTTTTTCCGTCTTTCAGCAATTTTCAAGAATCTTGACATCCATTGCAAGCAGGTGTTTTCAAATACTCTAAGGTAGGTTAATATTTACAACACAGCTCTAAATTTTTTATGCTTAGCCACACCGTGGACACATTCTGTAACTTGATGTAATCATCAGGGGAACGATAAGAACATCAGATGGAAGATTGTTCCAAGTTATCTTTTACAGACTATGAGGAGAAAGGTTTTGCTCTCAGTTATTATCTGAACAGTGAACACACAAAGCCATTACCCAAATGGATAGTAAAACAATGCTAAGAGCATAGGGGAAATTGGCAATACTTCGTTTTCGTTGTTGAGGTTGAGCTAAAGAGGGGCACGTCATCCAGACAGATAGCAGTCGTTTAGAAGTAAGGAAAAAGTCAGACTAACAGACAGACAGATAGACAGACAGACAGTCAGACCCGAGTAACAGAGGGATAGCGATAATGTGAGACCCAATGGAGGTGCCGTCGGGTTTTTAGTTTTAGTAAGATTTTACGGCGCTCGCCACAGCATAAGGTCATAATTATGAGCGCCAAGGGGTGGATGTCAACAGAGAAGTCCAGACGAGGAATCAGTCTTACTCTGCTCACCTCTCTAGCCTCAACAGCACACAGTCTGCTTCGACTATCAAGGCACCCCGGAAACAAAAGTTCACATGTTTTGTTTTAGTAGAGGTTTTGGCGCTCGCAACTGCATATGGTCATATGAGCGCCAGTAGATTAGAGGTGTTACAAGAGAGTAACAAACATAAAAAAGAGGAAGGGGAGATAAGGATGATAGATGTTTCACAGGAAAGAAGAAGCAAACCACACCAGAGCACCCGCCAACCACCCACAAAAGTTCACAATAGAGTGACAAACATACAAAAGAGGTAGAGGAAAATGGCAAATGAGTTTAACGCCCCTATCAACACTATTAGGTTATTTAAGGGGCGGGATCTCCTAGTTTAACGTCCGTCTCCGATAGGACAGTGGAAAATGACAGTAAGCACGAGGAAAGAACCCCCCC